GACAAAATTAACATCACTATTGCACATTTTCTTATTGATTTATTTATTTTTACTTATTTTTATTTCAATTTTTGATAAATTATTGCAATTATTATATGTACATGTACATACATATATCTAATCTATATAAATAAAAGAGTAATGTTTGTTCGTAATCTATAAACTCAAAAACTACTGGACGAAACGTGACCAAATTTCGTGTATGTATTATATGGGGAGTGAGGAGTGTTCCAAGAAAGTTTAGTTATTCCCGATATCAGGGTGCAGATAGCGACCGAATTCAATTCACTCGCGAACTAGTTTAATTCGAGCGATTTAAATAATTCATTTTCCCGCGAAGAAATCTATTCGACTCGCGAGTTTGATTTTTCAACTCGCGATAAGAGTTGAAAATTTAGAATATGTTTACCGAATTTCATCGAAATTGTAGAGGGTCATGTTCAAAATCCTACTGTTTTGTTCGGAATTTTTTGAAATTACCCCTTCCTTTATCATTATATTAACAATATATTATAATTTTAAATTTTATGCTTCTTGAAAAAAATCATGCAAATATAAACTTTGATCCTCGATAAAATCTAAACTGTAATGAATTTGGAAATTTTGGAATACTTTAAATTTAGTATTTACAGTGTGTGTACAAATTTTAATAAAAATCTAAAAAATCGAGAATTTTTGAAATGTCTCGGTTTATTTTAACTAAAAACTAATACAAAATCGTCAAAAAGTTTCGAGGTTCATCAAGAATTGCATATAGTCATCCAAATATATATATGTATATATACATTCTGCACAACTTTTTTGTATGTAGCGCCGTATTTATTCCAAGCTTTTCAAATTAAATAATAATTTTGAATAACTCCAGCACATATTTTCCATTTACAAATTCCGATTTTTTTTTAATTAGAGGAAGGTCTGGATATTTTAATAAGTAAAATTATTTGGGTATCTTCTTCGTTCATCTAACCTTTAAAACTTTATTTCAACGGATTTAATAATTGGTGAATGCATAAAAGCTAATGAATAAAAACAATACTTTTAAACATACTTTTGTATAAATGGATGTATTTTTGAGAAACAATGATGAGACAAATACGGTGGTTTTACTCTTTAATAAATAATTCAAAATTGGTTCTCAAATTAAAAGTTGTTATGTTTTCACAGTCAAATTCAATGATACAGTGATTGAGAATGCTGAAAGTTTCTTAAATGTTTCTACAAAATAGTCAAAATTTCAAAATTTAAGCTAATTTTAAATTTATAAATTTTTAAGGGACTTTTTGGTCCAGAAACTGACTTTAAGTATTAAACTAAATGCAGAAAAATATAGTAACTATTTTATCGTTATAAACTAAATTTTGACATCTATTAAAAAAAGTGTAGTCATTACAGATAGAAAAATATGTCACTTTTAGAAGAAACCCGGGTACGCGCAGCTATATTAGTGCTTATATATATATATATATATATATATATATATATATATATATATATATATATACTAGCTAAAACCCGGCGTGCTTTGCTACTTCTGTCGATATAAAATAAAAAATTTTCAAAATATATTCATATACAATTTTTGTTTATAAAAATTTTATTAATATTTGTTTGTCACTATCCAAAACCATAAAGTAATAAGACAAAGAAAGTTTGATATTAAAAATATTTTATTAATTAATGATATTTATGTACATATATTATTTCTTATTCCTATTCATTAGCATAAATTTACAAAATATTACAAAATTACGAAAATATAATTGACTTAATATTTACAATTAAAATTTTTCTTAATAATTATTTCCTATTCTAAAGCCTTGGGATATACAATATTTTTCGTTTTCCCCTCAGGCGCGTAGATATACAAATCTGAAGGTTTCTCAACTCGCGAGCATGCAACATAAAGTTGACCATGTGAGAAGCATGGATTTTCGAGATTTATTCCACACACTTGCAGGGATTGACCCTGAAATTTGTTTATTGTCATCGCGAATGCCAAACGTGTAGGAAATTGCAACCGTTTAAAGTCGAATGGCATTTCCGATGTTGTCATTGAGATCCGAGGTAGTAAGACATCCGTTCCTTTATATTGCCCAGTTGTAATCGTTGCTTCGATTAAGTTGTTCATTAATTTTTTAACTGTTAATCGAGTACCATTACAAAGACATGGTGGATCAATATTTCGCAATAAAATAATTGGAACGCCAATTTTCAACTTCAATTCGTGGGGATACATTGACGACATCATCATTATTTGTAACAGTATCGATGGATTTATATGTTTTTAAATTACCATCGATTCTATTCAAAATAATATTATTGATACAATTAACGTCAATGTTTTTGGGTGCCAGTAAAGCACGCTCACATAACCACTGTCAATTTTTGAAATTACGTTGAAGATTTGGAAAAACACAATATATTAACTCTTTCTTTGATTGTGTGATCCTACAAAAGTTAGAGGGAAACTTTACACAATTTGTGGTTGGCTCAATTGTCATTTTTCCATTTCCTAAATCCAGCAATTGTTTTGTTGTTAATTTTAACGTGTGAACATGTTGCCAGAGATATGATGATTTTAGGCAAGCATTGAGTTCATCAGCCGGTGTTGAACCAGGTATCACAGGAAGTGTCTGGCGAAAATCACCCGCTAAAATAAATTAGAATTACTTCTCATGTCCTTTAAAGTGCGATCAAGCGCTTCTAAGGATTTTTTGTGGGCCATGGTGCATTTATTCCACACTATTATTTTATATGTTTGCAGGATTTTACCCATTGAAGAATTTTTCTTAACATTACATGTATAATCTTCAGAAAATTGTGTTTTCAACGGTAATTTGAGTGCATAATCTAAAAGTGTTGCTGCAATACCTGATGACGCAATGGCTAAGGCAATAAATATTCTTTTGCGATCGAACTTTAGCTAAAATTAATGAGATGAGAAAGGTTTCTCCGGTTCCTCCTGGCGCATCAATGAAATAAAATTCTCCTTGTAAGAAATAATTATTAAGGAATAATATATGTACATAAATATTATTAATTAATAAAATACTTTAAATGTCGAACTTTCTTTGTCTTATTACTTTATGTTTTTGGATAGTGACAAACAAATATTAATCAAATTTTTATAAACAAAAAATGCATATCAAAATATTTTGAAAATATTTTATTTTATATCGACAGGAGTAGCAAAGCACGCCGGGTTTTAGCTAGTTTCAACATAAAAAGTAGCCTATAGTTCCTTCCAGAAATACAGGAAGAAAATTTCAGGAAAATTGGTTCAGCCGTTTAGCAGTCTATAAAGCACAAACAAACAAACATACATACATACATACATACATACATACATACATACATACATACATACATACATACATACATACATACATACATACATACATACATACATACATACATACATACATACATACATACATACATACATACATACATACATACATACATACATACATACATACATACATACATACATACATACATACATACATACATACATACATACATACATACATACATACATACATACATACATACATACATACATACATACATACATACATACATACATACATACATACATACATACATACATACATACATACATACATACATACATACATACATACATACATACATACATACAAACAAACACACTTTCATTTTTATGTATATAGATGAATATTTAAGTTCTTAGTGCAAAATTTGAAGAATTTAGTTCTATTAGTTTCCCAGATAAACCAATTTTTGTATTTTATTAATATGGGAGGTACTGCTCCCCTCATGGGTAGTCCGCCAATATATTTCCCAAAATGTTTATATGGATATTAAAGTTACTCGTGCAAATTTTTAATATTCTAACTGTAATAGTTTCCAAGATAAACGAATTCTTGTATTTAATTTATATGGGAGGTGCCACGCCCCCTAATGCTAATCCGCCCACTTTTTGTCTTAAATAATTATATTGATACTAAAGTTGCTCCGACAAAATTTTAAGACTCTAACTATTATATTATCTCAGATATACTAATTTAATATTTTCTTAATATGGGCGTGGCACGTCGCCCACATGAAATTTCAACATAAAAAGTAGCCTATAGTTCCTTCCAGACATACAGGAAGAAACTGTGAAAATTTCAGGAAAATCGGTTCAGCCGTTTAGCAGTCTATAAAGCACAAACAAACAAACAAACATACATACATACATACAAACACACTTTCATTTTTATATATATAGATATATATATATATATATATATATATATATATATATATATAGATATATATATATATATATAGATATATATATATATATATATATATATATATATATATATATATATATATATATATATATCTATATATATATATATATATATATATATATATATATATATATATAATATAATTAATCACAAAATTTTAATAGCTTCCAGTTAGATATTTTATAAAGGCAGTTGAATGAGGGTAAATTTCAATTGAATTTTGCTTTAAAGAAAAAAAAAGTAAGCAACTGTTATAACTGTTTATATATTTCAAATTATTACAAATTTATATAATCGATCACCTTCTCACGTAGTGAAGGGTATTAAAAATAGGTTTCAAGCAAATAAGTAAATATTGATAATCCTTATGTCACAAACAAATTGTTCGTTGTTTGGGATCCACAATACGAAAATCATATAAAGAGAATTCAATCCATCCTAAAAGAATTTATTTAATTTTGTCTCCGAAATCTCCATGTGAAAACCGATTGGCACTTATTAAACTCCCTACCCTAAAAAGTAGGATAGTATGTTTCAACGTTACATTCATGTTTCATTTACTGATATTTTGAATTTGTTATTGTTTAATCATGAACAAAGGCAGCTTTTTAATACGTGAGTGAAAAATTAAGTATCTAAACCTATTATTAACATTAAAATAACTTTACCGAAGTAAAAATTTTCATTAACCACGAATATATAATTTTTTATTTTCAGAATGCCATCTGTGGACAATACAGAGGAAGTCTCTGCACCGCAGGTGCCTAAAACAGAGCTAGAAGAGTTGCAAATAAAAGCTAATAGTGTTGCTGATGATGTAAGTAATAATAAAATTAATTTATTATGAAAGTAGAGTTGAAAATGAAAAAAGTTGTTTACATTTGTTCATCTCTCATCTTTCATTTGATATACAACAATGCATAACACAGTGAGACAAAATAAACGAAAATTGAAATACCAGGGAAGTGATACTATTTTTCTGAAAAGTAGATTCGAGTAGAACAAGAATACTGTTAAAACCGGTTTTCGTTCCTTTGGGCACTTATAAGTCAGTAAGTTAGTTAAATCTGAACCGATTTTAAGTTTCTCCACGGATTTAAAAGCAGAAGCTGAGGCCTTTATAATGACATATATAACGTTAAAGTAACCTGGAGAGATATGTGTGAATTTCATCAGTAAACATATTTTTATTTTAGATTTGCACCATTGTCCATGTTTGGAGATTTTTTTTAAAGTATTTTATATAGGACCCGTATTATTTATTAATTGATTAGAAACCTATGTCTATACATGAGAAAAACGTAACTTTGTTTTTAAAAATCCGTTAGCAATTGACGAAGTTATTGATCTTTTTCTTAATAGAAAATTGTTCAAAAACTGATTTTCTGAAGGATGCTTTATCTGGGGTCATAGGGTTAAATATGGGCCGATACTCGAAAAATTTGGTGTAAGGATTTATGTTTATATAAAAGTTATTTATGCTGAATTTCATCGTGATATTAAGAGGATAATTATGGAATTCAAGTCATTTTCTAAAGGGGGTTTGTATGGGGACTAGGGTCAAATAAGACCGTACTGTCTAATGAATCAGCAGTATCACTAAAGATTACAGTAAACTCATTTATACCGTTTTTTTGTATTGTTTGGACCTTATATGACCCTAGTCCCCATGCAAATCCTCCTAAAGCAAGCGACTTAATTCCATAATTCTCTCAATTACATCTATATCACGATGAAATTTAGCATAAATAGGTGTCCTGAAATAACTCCCCACGAAATAACTCCCAAAAAAAAATGTAATAAGTCCTCAAATTTGGGGACATATTTCATTACGAAATAATTCACCAATTTAAAAATGAAAAAAAGGCCCAACGAAATGAAATAACATCCTAAATTAAAATGAAATAACACCCCATTTCTGGGGATTTATTTCATATGAAATAAATCCCTAATTTTAAAATGAAATAAGTTCCCATTTAAAAATAACAAATTATGGAACAAGTCGGTTTTAGTGACATTTCTAAAAAAAGTAGGTCGCTCATACTTTCGAGTGGGGCTTTAAAGTTTAACACATTTGAGTGTAATCGCTTTATAAAGATTCCCCTAATAGCCGGCCTGCGACTGGGCTCAAGGACTTTATACTCTATGGTATGTCTAACAACGGCTTCGCTTAATAAATATTTCCTAAATAACCGGCCTATGGCCGGACGCAAGGATTTACCACTCTATAATATGACCAACACCGGCTTCGCTTAGTAAAGATTTCCTAAGTTACCGGCCTAAGGCCGAACACTCTTGATACAGGGAGAGTGTATTCTTAGCTAAGCCGGTGTCCAATGTACCCCAGAAGATAAAACGGCGCTGCGAATTATGGCCCCAGGTAAAATTTCCCCAAAATATAAAACGAAATATGGCCCCAACAAAGACACAGGAAACAAAAACACGAAATTTTTGTTTTTTTTATATTTTTTTTTTTTTTTTTTTGGGTTATTTCAACATTTTTACATTTGGGGTATTTTGCAAAAAAATAAAAATGACCCCAATGTTGTGAAATGAAGAAATACCCCAAAACCAAACTTTTTTTTCCTTTGGGGCAAATTTTCATTCTTAAATTTTGTAAAATACGTGAATATTAAAAAATTAAAAAGGGACCTAAAAAACCATATAATAATTAGAGGTGATCTTTCATTATTACTATTTATTAATATTTTATAAAAATTCAGAACATTATCGCGCGATATTTTATACATAAAATACAACAGATATTATTACATAAAATATTTTTTTATTAAATCGCGCAATTTTATAAAAAATATTTTATGTAATAATATTTGTTGTATTTTCATAAAATGTTTGTTAATTTTGAACATTCTTGAATACTATTAAATATGAAATTTTATAAATATATTAGCATATATTTAAGGTGGGTTGTCATAATGTCCATTGACGTTATGACACACCAAAAAGTTTCATAGTATCCATGGACGTTTTTAAAAGTGTTATAATGTATCTTTTAAAACAGAACTGTATTTGAAAATTTTTAAGGAATTTAAGAAAGGGACACTCTTACCCCCAAAAGAATTTATCCTAAATTTGGTGTATGTTGCACTTTGGATTCCATTTAAAAAGTGTTTTGGATAGCCGGCCTTCGGCCGGGCGCAGGAGTTTTAAACTCTGGGGTATTTCGAATACCGGCTTCGCTAAATTAAGCCTTCTTTTGATAAATGGTTTCTTTGAAATCCATGGACATTGCTCATATGCATTGTGACACTTTTGAAATTGTTATAACGTCCATGGAACTAGACTCAATTTAGTGAGTCATAACGCCCATGCAAAATATGACACTGGACTTTATGACACGCCACCTATATTTGAATTAAAATTAAATGGGGTGAAATTTCATTTACGTTTTTCTGATAATTGTTCATTACGAACAATAACCCAATATTTGGGGCCACTTTTCATTTCAACCTTGGGGAGATTTTTCATTAATTTTGTGGTGATTTTTCTTAAAAAATGTTAGGGTTATACTTCATAATGAATTTTTTTTCAATCGCTAACGGATTTTTAAAAAACAAAGTTGCGTTTTACTCATGAATAAACATGGGGTTCTAATCAGTTAATAAATATACGGTTCCTATATGAAATATGTACTTTCAAAAAACATCTCCAAACTTGGTTATATAAGGGCCTCAGCTTCTGCTTTCTAAATCCGTGGAGAAACATAAAATCAGATTTAACAAAGTTACTGACTTATAAGTGCCTAAAGGTACGAAAAACCGATTTTTTACTCGTAACTCAAGATTTTAGAGGTGTTTGTCAAATTTCAAAAACATATTCTAGTTCTACTCGGATCCACCTTTCAGAAAAATGGTATCACTTCCCAGGTATTTATTTTTGTCGCATAGTGTAATGTGTTTATCACGTATAAATAAATAAAATAATATGGAATTTAAAAATTATTAAATTGAATGTCAAATTCATTTTTATTACGAAATGAAAAAGGGCGTAACAACACTTTTAAAAATTTTACATGAGAGACAAAAAACTAAATAAAATGAAAGCTATTTTTTGTTATAAAAACGAAATTTTCTTACAAATATTATATCCAAACATTGGGATAGACCTTGTTTATTATGTTGCTTTTTAGGACTTCTTACTTGTGGAAATAACTAATTTGTTGTTACGCCCTTTTGAATTTCATTTCAATGGTATTTTTTGTCAATAGGGTTCTAAAAATTTACAACAATATGTATTTTGATGCAGTGGACAATTTTCAATTAAAGTCGATTTAAAATTTTTTGGTAATTGTTTTGTTTCGAAATAAATAAAAAATTTCAGCTGTGCTTTTGTAAAATTCAAATGAGTAATATGATTTTCATATTAACTTTTCTGAATTCAAAATAAAAATTCTCATCATTGTTTTCATGACAAACTTTTAAGTTCCCAGCGGTAAAGGAAACAAAGTACTTAGATAATATTCGATGACATCAGTATGGCGTTCTAAGCGAGCAATCTAAGTACTTAGAGTGCAATGTATGCGTAATCCAACATATCATGCACTTTAATTATAACATAGATTACGATTTAAGCAGAGAGTTAGCTGCCTTTTCATGTTGTTTTTTGTTTTTATATCTTTACAAAAAAAATAGAACTAAAGTACTACTACGGAGGTGGGTACCTTGGCCTCCGTGGCGGACAATGCGTCAAGTGTACAGCATGCCACTGGCAAAAATATAGGGGTGAAAGAGAAGGATGTACTCGGAGAGAGCTCTAAGCTACCTCAGCCTTTAAATATAGGTGAGGGTTCCGACTCTGAATCCTCAGATGATAATAATAATAATACCATTATAGCAAATCCCAAAAAGGATGAAGTAGAGCAAATGGTGAAAGAGGTGAGTGATAGCATAGCTAAACTACCTATTACTAAGAAAAGACTTTCTGGAGCACAGAGGAGGAAGTTGAAAAAGATGCATCAGGAAATCATAGTTAGTCAATCCCACGACACTCCAAAGGAAAAATCGGACTCTCTCACAAGATCTGAGGCAAAAAGGATCAGGTCTCCCGAGGAGTTGACAACTGAGAATAAACCTAAGAAGAAAAAGAGCTCCCCGTCTTCTAATACACAGTCGAAGCCAAGCCATACTTCACTCAAAGGAATCTCAAGTGAGAATCCTGCGAGTAAGGGTGACAACGCCAAGCCAGATATTCTGAAGACGAACACGTCGGCGAAATCAACCTCGAAGGTAAGGGAATCTCAAAAGAAGCCCCGAAAAACGAGGAAGGAGAAGCTAGACGGAGGAAAAGGAAAAGAGCCGCCATCTTACGCCAAAGTTGCCAGAAGAAGACACCGGGACGATCTCTGCTATGCAGTTTACGATGCCGGTAATCCGACAGGCAAAATTCCAATAGACCAACAGAGTAAAATAGAAGACCTGGTCAACAATAAGATAGTGGACCATGCAATCGCTTCAAAGGGCAAACAACCAATAGAGAGCGAGAGCTGTGAGTTCAGCATGGGCGTGATGTTGATGAGGTTGGCATCTCACCAATGTGTTAGCACCCTAAACAACTTGGTGGAAAGTATCCCTCCTCCCTGGGACGGCGCTAGGCTGGGACTGGCAAAGAAGAGCGAGCTTCCGGTGCTCCTAAAGTCCACTGTCTACATAAAAGGATGGGGCAGTAAACTGGCTAATGAACGTATACTGGAAATTCTTGGAGGTCAAAATGTTGAGCTGGCCGTGGAAAAATGGGATGTCTTTTACAGGAAAGAAGAACCTGAGGGAACTTTATTTGTAATAGGTATCGACCAGAAAT